GTTGGGAAACTGCCTTATAATTTACCTATATTTGGTAGGAATGAATGAAAGGCTTAGGAAAGAAAAATATCATTTTAAGTGATTTCTCCAAGATAGACAGGCAGAATTATTCTAGGGCATTTGCATGAACAAAACAATTAGCAGTAACTCTATTGTTAAATAGATTAATAGATAATTAATTTTAAACACTTGAGAATTACTTTATTTTCTCTTGGTTCCTTACATCTATATGTGTGTGACGATAAAAAGGGGCACCTCATTATATTAATTATTTGCATGTTTTCAGTAATGATCTGTTTCAGGCACTCTGCCGAATTCCGTACGTACATCACCTTGTATTAACCTTAGATAATTTCCTCCCCGACCCAGTAACTCATGGATACCATCATTGTATTAACTCTTTATAAGAAAAACAAAACACAAAATACAGAGCTTAATAAAGTTAGCTTTAGACTACATTCCCACTGAGTGGCAGATTCTGAATCAGTATGCAGTGTCACCTGACTCCACAGTGTATGAGTTTAGCCACAGCTCCATGATTCTTCTGGGCCCAGCCTGACCTCTTTGGTGTTGGGAAGAGCAGAGAAGAGAAGGTCTTGTTCCTTCCAGAGGACAAGGGGTGTGTGCTGTGGGCATAGCAGTGCTGGAAAAATGGCTGAGGTGTCACGCCCAGGAAGCGCTGAGGACTCTCTGGGTGGCTTCTGCCTTAGTCTTTTGAGGGTGACACCATCCCAGAATGACTTCGCAACCAGGATAAAGTCAGGAAAGATGGAGGGCCTGGCTGTGTGGCCAGCTGTGCTGACAAGCAAAGTCAAGAGAATTAGTGATTCCTCCACATGGTTCCAGGGCACATGCAGGCATAAGAGCAGCTGGGACTTCAGACACGACATGGCAGAAGCTCAGCCAGAAGAGCCTCCTGTTGTCGCTGTTGCCAATTTTGGGTTGTTTACGTCCCTTTGCTCATTACCTGAGAAGCCTCGGAGGGCAGTCTCAGAGCAGTCTCAGAGGATGGAACTGGTTCCATAGGAGATGAGGTGCCAGTGGAGGATTTTAAACCATCTGCTAACCTCTCTGGCTGTGTGCTACACTGGCTGATGTAAGGGGCAGACAGGAGAGGACATACAGTTTGGGGAGGAATCTATTGCATTGATTGACTCTAAGTGAATTACAACAAGGACCCAGACCAGAGGTGGATGGAGAAGAGCAGTCAGATTTGAGTGGGAGTTTAGAGTCCTATATAAATTTTGAGTTTTAAGAGCTGAGAGAAAGACTCTACTTCCAGACTTACTCCTCTCTAATTCATCTTCCACCCTGAGGCCAGAATGGTGCTTTTAAAATGTAAGTCGTAAGTGACTCCTCATTAAAGTCACCTACAGAATAAAACCCCAGCTGTGACGAGGTCACAGATAGGCTCCCAGAAACTAGTTCCTTTCTATCTTTCTACTCTGACCTCCAGTCACAGACATGGAGTGTCCTCAGTGAGCATCTTGCCTCTTCTACTTTGTTTGTCTTGCACAGGTCTATTTCTAGACCCAGTGATGTTTTTTCCTTACCTACTCCATAGTAAAAATCCTACTTACTTCTTTAGGAGCAGCTTAAATCACACATGCCTTGGAAACTCTTCCTGATTTTCCCATTTCATACAACAACAAAAAAGGTCTTTCAACATGTCATTTTCATGGTTTATAACTTAATCTTTCAAAATCCAAATCTATTATTGTTCTTTTCTGGCTGAAAACATTCACTGTTTCCCCTTTTCCTAAAGGTTAAAGTAGAACTTTACCCTAGATGAAACCAGCTTCATATAAAATAGTAAATACTTGAATAACATAACATTTATTACAGTGCTTTTTAAAAAGTATACATGCATAATAAATATTGGTTGAGAAATATAGTTTTTAAGGTATTAAACATCAGAGGGGCTTCAGACAAAAATATTTTAAATTTCTATGGTACCATACTAGACTCTTAATTTGTGGAAGATTATTTCAGTATAAATATATCAAGCATCCTGTGTTACTGTAAGAAAAATATCACTCAAAATCACGAAGGTAAATTCGTCACTTTTGGGGCATTCATATATGGAAACCCTGGAAAACAAGAATAGCCTGAAATCAAGGAAGTTGTCTGCAGCTGGTGAATGGTATTTGGGGAGGCAAAAAAGTTCTTAGCAAGAAAACAGCAGGTAAATCACATTTTCATAATTATGTCCAGTATTTATATAAACAAATTTTCTTGAACTGATCAAGATTTGTTTTTCTTTATTGAGAAAATATGACTTCTCTGCTTCCCTAGCTAGAGAAGAAAATGCTTTTCTTTCTGGAGCAATGGTAGGAAAACGCTCAAGCCCAACATGAGGTCTGACGCGTTCTGCATACCTACCTTTTAGTCAATCTTGTTTATTTCGCTGCCAAGCTGTTTCTTTGTGAAATGACTCATCATTATTTATCTAAATTGGTTTTAAATGAGAATGTTTAACCAAAAGATCCGATCTGGATATTATGACAGCTGTTATAAAATATGGGGGTCCAAGTTGTGTCATTTTCTTTCTCACAATTTATTTACTTGTCAGATTTATTATTATCATTGTAATATTTTCCCGAAACAAAAGTGTACATGTGAAGTTTTCAGGAAAACTTTTGGACTATGAATTAGGATACAATTATGAAAATCAGCATCGAGTTATAAATTATGAGGTCTGTATTCTGATTCTAGCTCTTACAACAGGAATTGAAGCAATCAGGCTAAGCTCTCTGGGCCTGTTTCCGTACTAGTCATGAAGGAGTTAATAGATAATGTCTGCATTAGTTTGCTTGAGCTGCTGTAATAAAGTACAAGTTGGGAGGCTTGAACAACCAGAGTTTATTGTCTCACTGTTCTGGAAGCCGGAAGTCCGAAATCAAGGCATCAGAAGTATCAATTCCTTCTGATGACTGTGGGGAACCGCGTGTTCTAGGCCTGTCTCTGGTTTGTCTGTGACTGTCTTGCCCTTGTGTCTTTTCACAATGTGTTCTCTTGGTGTGTCTGTGTCTTTGTCCAAATTACCCCTTTTTATAAGGACATCAGTCATATTGGATTAGGGCCCACCCTAATGACCTCCTTTAAACATGAACAGATTTATGAAAACCCTATCTCCAAAATAAGGTAACATCCTAAGGCTCCGGGCATTATGATTCCAGCATATGTTTTTTGGGAGGCTGGCACAGTTTAACCCATAACGACATCTGACTTCCTTCTTTTCAGCTTGAACATTTTGTTAAGGCTGTACATAGGCCAGTCAGTACCCCTGAGGTTGTTAGCGACTGAAACACAAATGTACATGGTTTTGGCATAAAGGGAGGAATTTGTTGACACAATCCAGGAACAGGGAATGACATCTCTGTTGAGATGCAGCTCAGGCCCTTCAATGTTGGCAGGAGGCTTTCTCCATTTGTTCCACTTTGCTTTGTTTCAGCTTTCTTTTCTTTTTTATTTTGAGACAGAGTCTCACTCTGTTGCCCAGGCTGGAGTGCAATGGTAGGCTCTCGGCTCTCGGCTCACTGCAGCCTCCACCTCCTGGGTTCAAGTGATTCTCCTGCCTCAGTCTCCTGAGTAGCTGGGATTACAGGCTGCCACCACCATGCCTGCCAATTTTTTGTATTTTTAGTAGAGATGGGTTTCACCATCTTAGCCAGGTTATCCTGGCACTCCTGACCTCTAGGCCTACCTCGGCTTCCCAAACTGCTGGGATTAAAGGTATGAGCCACTGTGCCTGGCCTATTTTCTTTCATTATAGATTGGCTTCCCACATAACCAAAGACTGCTGACATCTTACAATTCTTCTGAGGGTGGGCATGGGGAGGGAGGGACTTGGAGGACTTCTTTCAAGTTTGAATAATCAGCAGGGCTTGCATCTAGTGGCCCAGCTCCAACCAGGTGCTTACCCCAGACTACCCCTTCTGGAGTGGCCTCAGGGAAGAATGTGGCAATTGTGCCTCCACCTGCTCTATCCCAGGAGGATGGTGTTTCGGAGGTAGGCAGTTCCATAGGCTTTAACTGTAGTAATGCTAGTTAAAAATGTGTTTTTGTCCTTACTGATTGTGCATGTATGATACAGGACTTGTTTAGGTATCTGCCTTCCAAGTACAGATGAGGGTTTTCCACACTGGAAAAATCTTGGCCTGTTGTATTAGTCCGTTCTCATGTGGCCATGAAGAAATACTTGAAACTGGGTAGTTTATAAAGGAAAGAGGTTTAATGGACTCACAGTTCCATATGGCTGGGGACACCTCAGGAAACTTACAATCATGGCAGACGACACCTTTTCACAGGGCAGCAGAAGAGAGAATGAAAGCAGAGCAAAGGGAGAAGCCCCTTAGAAGACCATCAGATCTCGTGAGAACTCACTCACTATTGTGAGAACAGCATGGAGCAAACCACCCCCATCATTCAAGTATCTTCACCTGGTCCCACCCTTGACACCTGAGTATTATTACAATTCAAGGTGAGATTTGGGTGGGGACACAGAGCCAAACTCTATCAGCTGTGAAGGCTGAAATTGGTGGAAATTAAGTAATAGTCTTTGGAACACAGAGTAGATGGTGGGGCTGTCAGAAGAGACAACATGAAGAAGGAAATTACAAGATGGGAGCTTAGGAGCCTGGCTTGTGTGTAGCACAAGTCCTTAGATTCAAGGACCTGTTGTGCCTCGGGAAGGGAAGTAACGCAGCCTGAGAGACGGTCCAGGACACAGGTGTAGAGCATGCTGGACTGAAGGACACGCTGGCTTGATCAAAATTTATATAAGGCATGAGGATGAAGGGTAGCGGTGCTGTTTGGTGCTCACTTGATTTGCCATTGCATTGGGTTGCATAGTGTCCACCTGCACCCCTCCCCAAATCCATGTCTTCATGGAACCTATAATGTGACTTTATTTGGAGATAGGGTCTTTATAGATGTAATCAAGTTAAAATGCAATCCTATTGGATTCTCATAAATCTTAATTAGTGACTGGTGTCTTTCTAAGGGAGAGGAGAGGGCAGTCTGGACACACAGACACAACAAGAGCCCCATGTGATGCCAAGGAGGAAACCGGAATGAGGCAGCCACAGTCCAGGGGACAGCAAGCACTGCCGACAACCACCAGAAGCTGAAAGAGGCAAAGAAGGATTTTTCTCTAGAGGCTTCGGATGGAGCATGGCCCTGCCAGCACCTTCGTTTTTGACTTCCAGCCTCCAGAACTGTGAGAGAACACATTTCTGTTATTTTAAGCCACCCAGTTAGTGGCACTTTGTTAGGACAACCCTGGGAAATTGTGACAGATGTGGGCACTTCAATTATGAGCTATAGTCTTTCTGTCTGTCTACTATTATTTGAATTCGATTCACCAAAGAATAATACTTTCTTTATTTAAAATGTTTTAAATTATGAGTACATATGTGGACGCAGATATCATATGTCAGAGGCTCACAACTTGTTTCAAAAGTAAAGAGTTGCACCACTTTTAAACAACTCAAATACATAATTACAGTTCCGAAGTTGGGGCTGGTGAGGAGTGATTCTCCTTTGCAAAGCTGTCTTTAGAGTCCTGCTATGTCACACTCAGAGAATTCCTATTTTATACCTATGAATTATCAGAAATCCTAAACTTTCATTGTTAAGATCAGTTGTACATTGTTTAGAGAGGAATACCTATGTGAATTTACTAAAAAGGAATTTATCTGAGAGTTAAACACAAGCCATTAAATAACATACACACACACACGCGCACACACACAATATAAACCACTAGTTTTCCTTCTGTCAACCACCTCCACCCTTTTTAGGAACTAAACTCCTTAAAGTTTTCTTTGTTTTAGAGTGTTGCCTGATTTGGATGAGAAATATTCATTTCCTCCACTGAAATTCTTCAGATTGCCTTTCCAAATGTCAGTGCTGTTGGGCTTTCCCTGGGAAAACAAAACAAGATTGCTGTCAGAGAAGCAGTTTGCAGATGAGCAGATCAAACAGATAACAGAATCCAGGATGCTATTATTAGCTGTGGAGAAGGCAGGCAGTTTGCAGGTTACATAAGTGAGGGAAGTGGTGGCATTCTGGGAACGAGGAAAGAAATGGAAAACTGATCCATGAGAAAGATCTGGGCTGCTTTCTCATTACCTCTTTTTCTCCCCACCAAAAAAGAAAAAAAAAAAAGTCCAGAATTGTGTTGTAGTCTTTCTGTCGACCTACTATTATTTGAATTTGATTCACCAAAGAATAATATTGTCTTTGTTTAAAATGTTTTAAAGTTGATGATAAATCCTGAGTTCAGGTCAGTGGACACAAGTGAGAAGTAAAAAGTCAAGCACCTTATTATGGAAATGTTATTTACATCACACCCTGGTTTTGCTGTGTTACAGCTTGTAGAATAGTTGACAGCCCTTTCTCAAGTGTCTGTGTATTTCTTCACAGTCCATAACAATCTGACTGTTGGTTTGCAATTTCTTTTCTAATGAGATTTTTTTTTGGCATGTGAAAATGCAGAGCTGCTTTAGTTCTACTCTGGCTTTTTTTCCTTCACTGTTTTTCTCATTTTGGGGGGCCTATTTTTTATTCAGCTGCGGGTTTGGTGCTTCTGTGGTTATTTTCTAACCCTTGGCCATGGCATACTTAGTACTTCATTTCTAGCAGAATCTTTTCTGATGCTTGTCGGCTTCTATTTTACTCTCTGTGTTTTCTTAGTATATAAAGCTCAGCCACCACTTACTGTTTTTTGAAGATAATGTTGGTTGTGCGCCTGGAACGACTTGAATAAACTTGCAATAAATGACCCTATCCAAATGAATCAAAGAGTACGTGTGGGGCACAGCCCATAACCAGTGCATGGAGACAGTATCAGTAAAAACTGTCAGCTCCCCAGTGAAAACACCCAGAACTGCCACAGGCAACTCCTCATAATAGAACTTTTGCAGGGAACGGTTTCTTTTCAACGACACTGCTTTTAACAGCCTCCAAACATTCTTCCTCTGTGTGCACTGCGCCTCCAATCAAAAACTGAAATTCCAAATCAAGTCTGAAATACTTTTTAGCAAACAGCTCAATTCTTAATCTCCTGAAAATCAAGGAACCAGATCTTTAGCGAGAATACATTCACAGCAGCAGCCTCTAAACAAGGTTATCTTTACTTTCGTTCCTCAAATCACACTGCTGTGCTTTATTCACATAATTAAGGACAAAGGGATGCTAGGTGAGGATACATTCAAATGAAGTCATGCTTGTAATCTGTAGGAAACGGGTAATAGGTATAGCCTGATAAAATCCTTAGGAGAGCGACTTTGGTGCTCTCGGTTTGTGGTTAGATACAGCAGAGAAATCCTGGCAGTTTACTCTTTTTAGATGCAGCATTTTCGTGGTGCATTTGTTTAATTGAAAAATCAGTCCAGCATTGTCTGAAGCGTGCATCATATCTTTGGGTCAGGCAAGTTCAAGAGTCTTCCCCTGGAAAAAAACAATGTGCATGTGTGTGTATTTTAATCTTGAAAAATCACTGTCAAATAAATATTTAATGGTAAACGAAGACAAAATCAATAAAGCAAGCAATAGGTAAGGCACAGCCCTCCAGTGTAGATCTGCTGTTTATAACCAGTCCCTTCTCTATCAGGATGGATGGGTGCAGGTTGGCAGGAAGTGGCCACGGGTCTGGAAGGTGTCCTTTTAACTTCCTAGAAACAACTTCCAAGAATCTTGAGGGAATCCTTTTGAACATGTTATGGCATGTGGATCCTTTCTTCCCAACCTTCCAATAGCTTCCCGTCTTACTCAGAATAGAACTAAAGACCTTACAATGACCCTCACATCATGACCCAAAGCCTCCATCCTCCCTCTCGCCCTCTTTCATGCTGTTTCAATGATACTGACCTTGTTTTTCTTTAAACACACGAAGACTGCTCCCACCTCGGAGCCCTTGTAACTGCTGTTCCCCTGACTCAGGATGTGTGGCCCACAGACAAGCACGCCGCTGCTTTTTCCACATTCCCACTTTCTGTCTCTCTGCTCGTGTATCAGAGAGACCTTCTCTGACTATCCAATTGGAATTACCTTGCATTCCTCCTCCTCTTTATGCTCTGCTTTGATTTTATTTATTTATTTATTTATTTTGAGACAGAGTCTCACTCTGTCACCCAGGCTGAAGTGCAATAGTGTGACATCAGCTCCCTGATTCAAGTGATTCTCCTGCCTCAGCCTCCCAAGTAGCTGGGATTACAGGCACCTGCCACCATGCCTGGCTAATTTTTGTGTTTTTAGTTGAGACGGGGTTTCACCATGTTGGCCAGGCTGGTCTTGAACACCTGACCTCAGGTGATCCACCAGCCTTGGCCTCCCAAAGTGCTGGGATTACAGGTGTGAGCCACCTGGCTCACCTGTAGACACCCAGCCTGATTTTCTTTAGAGTACTTTTCCCTACATGGTAGAGACCATCTAAGTAGTTTCCTCTCCATCTCCCCAACTAAAATGAATGCTCCTTGAGGACAAGGGCTTTATTTTGTTGACTTCTTGATCCTACTGCTTAGAGCAGAGCCTGACACATCCATGTGGTCAACAGGATTTTGGTGTTACTGCTGTGGTTATGTTATGTGATATGGCAAGAGAGACTTTGCAGATGGAATTAAGATTTCTAATCATCTGACCTTGGGGAGATTATTGTTTATTATATGGATGGGTCTGATATAATCACATGGCTTCATTTTCTCAAGAATGGAAAAGGGAGGTAGGAGAGTTCACAGAGAGAGATATGACCAGGGAAGAAAGACATGGAGAGATGCAGTGTTGCTGGCTTTGCAGGGGAGGAAGGGGAGGCATCAGCTGGGTGTACTGGGGAAGTGGAGAGTGGCCCTCAGCTGTCAGACAGCAAGGCGATGGGAACCTCAGACATAGCACCACAAGGAACCAAATTCTGCTGATAATCAGCCTGAATGATAAAAAAAAAAAAAAAAAGGATCCTTCCCTAGAGCCTGAAAAAGAAAGAGGCCTGTAGACACTCTGATTTTTGGCCTGTGAAACTTTAAGCAGAGACCCAACTGAGCCCACCACACTTTTAACCTATAAAAACTATGAGATAATAAATTTATGCTGTTTTAAGTATGGATGAATAAAGAAAAAAATAACAAAGCATAAAATAAATCACTAAGGTGTATTTTGGGTTTTGAGATTTGATATCCAGAAAGAACCAAATAATTTCTTAAGCTACCTGCTAATAGATGGAGAAGTAAAATGTAAGGACATATGTACATAAGGCATACACTCAAAAGCTGTGAAATTGAATAGGTTTTTAAAAAAGATTGCTGTTGAAAAAGAGCATGAATTCTCTTTTAATTAAAGGATAATGGTTGTAGAAAAAAATGAAAAAAAGGGGGTAAAATTTGTTGCTTGATGTTTCAGTCTCAACTCCATCATTTACAGGCCCAGTGACCATATGCAAGTCACCTGAAGTTGAGATAATGATAGTATCTACCTTACAAGAATGGTAAAGAAACAAAAAGACTGTGTATGTGGTAAAAAAAAGTCGTAAACTATAAGTTATTAAATATGATAACACAACTCTCCTGTATGTACTGGAATTATTGTCCTTAGAAGAGTTCTCTTATCCAATTCTGATCATTCTGAGATGTTTATTTTTCAGAAGTGCAACTTTTCCCAAAATACTTTGGTATGATACTCACGCATATGAAACAATGTACTTTAGCATTATATGCATACTTTAAATGAGAATATTCTCACTTCATGATTAATGTGAAAATGAGAAGCTAGCTCAAAATATTTATGGCATGTTTAAGGCTGATTAATCTTACGATCTTGAAAACATGATCATTTCACAGTTTCTAAGCTAAAATGGGATGTACATTATTGAGCTATAAAGGTCTTGGAATGAAATTTTCTCCTATATTCATAGTTGTATGGGAGCTAGCATAAGAAATGGCATTTTGCTGGCTGAGCTGCAGCTCAGATGCTACTGTCTATGTGCACTGGTTGAGTGGCGAGTTGGGGTGGCTCAACATTTTCCCCAACAATGTGGATACATGTATTAATCAGCATGGGGCTTTCATTTCATCACTGGAAGAAGAGAATGTTGTCTGTCTGGGTCTGGAGACTAGGTTATAAAATGTTATGAAATTGAATAGGCTTTAAAAAACGTTGTTGTTGAAAAAGAGTGTACATTCTCTTTTACTTACAGAGGGATAGATGGATGCAGTGGAGTGGCTGGCCCAGCATCTCCTTCTTGCCTGGCCTGGTGGATCCAGGCTAAGTGAGGAATGAGGGTCCAATGCTGTTGGAATTGTATTTACCAGAGGATTGTGAGCCTCTTGGCGCAAGCAAATAGCAAAGTGATACAAAGTCAAAGAGGCACTTATCCCACCACTTCTAAATGGGACTCTGGTGCTTGATGAGTCTCTGGAGACCAAATATAAGCATAAAAGAGTGTTGCAGGGACCCCCATGCCCTGCTGGTAGGAGCACATCTCAGAGCAGCCCTCGTGGAGCATGACACGCAAGACTTGGTGAAACAAAATCTGCGTCTTACAGCACGGCCACCTCCGCCCTGTTCCACTCCTTTTATATAATCACAGGAACCTTCTCCATGTAGTAGAGAGTAGTTGAAAGCAACTTAGTGTTGAAAGCTAGGAGAATGAATAAGTAAAACGAGATGGATGCATGCTATACAATAATGCCAATCACTCAGAAACAATGGGTTATATGAACATACTGCAACATAGATGAACTTTTAAAATAGTGTTCAATTTTAAAAGTTAAAAACAGAATAGAAACCACAATTCATTATCATTAATGGAAATAAAATCATTGCATATTTTAAAGGATCAAACCTACCAAGCAAAGTGGGTGCCATGAGGGGAAGGGGAAGAGAATGGGAGTTAAAGCTGTAAGAGTAAACAGTGATGTTAGCATTATGAAACCAACCTGTAAAATTGGAGTTGAAGAAATAAACTGGCCTTGGGTTATGTGCTTATAATATAATTTAGTCCTTTATTTAAAAATGATCTACTTGTCCTTATTTTGTTTAAATACGATTCCCTCCATTTGCTTGCCAAATCTGGATGGATTATAAGAGGTAACGTAAGATTAATAAAGCACCAAGATGACACTAAATACCTGTTGATATCTAGCTAGCAGCCTTGATTTCCTTATATAGTAGTAGATGGCCTAGTATCTGAAAAGTATTGATGGTATGTATATATACACCATATATATATGTATATATATGGTGTATATATATATACACACCATCAATATACATATTATGTGTGTGTTTTTATGTGTGTGTGTGTGTATATATATATACACACACACAGAGATAATTCTTCATTCAAACATGCCAGAAATTTGGAGAAATTTTGCAAATACAGGTGAATTTAAAAAGTAAGAATATTGTTTCCTGAAACACCACAAATTTCTCCTCTTTGTGAATTACATACAGTGCTTGCTAATTATACAAGGAAGATTTGCCTCTTTATCAAATTCTTTTTACGCTGTCTTTGGCTTCTTGAGGCCAGTGCTGATGGGAAAAGAAGAAACTGGCCTAGTATTAATATCTACCTTGCTTTATTTTTTTCTGTCCCATAAAGAGATTCTTATAAAGGAAGTTGACTAGAGTTGGTGAATTATTTTTGCTCTATAGAATTAGGTTTTGTTGCCAATCGCCTTATTTGTTTTACTTTCTGAGGTAGGCAGAATAACGACCCCTAAAGATGTTCACATCCTAATCTCTGGAACCTGTGAATATGCTACTTTACATGACAAAGGAGAATGGGGCATTAAGAAGATGGAATTAAGGTTGTTAATTAGGAGAATTTAAAATAGGAAGAGTAGCCCAGCTTAACCAGGTGGACCCAATGTAATCATAAGTGTTTTTAACAGTGGAAGAGAGTTCAGAATTAGAGGGGGATTGAGGCTATGAGAGAACGGACATAGAAGATGAAAAAAGGGGGCCATGAGCCAAGGAATATGGGCAGCCTCTAGAAGCTGGAAAAAGCAGAAAAATGCACTTTCCCCTGGAACCTCCACAAGAGAATGCAGTGTTACTGAAACCTTGTTTTTTGCCCAGCGAGACCTGTATCAGACATGTAATTTATAGAACTATACATTATTAATGAGTATTTTTTTTTTTTTGAGATGGAGTTTTGCTCTTGTCACCCAGGCTGGAGTGCAATGGTATGATTTCAGCTCACTGCAATCTCTGCCTCCAAGGTTCAAGTGATTCTCCTGCCTCAGCCTCCTGAGTAGCTGGGATTACAGGTGCCCACCACCACACTCAGATAATTTTTTTATATTTTTAGTGAAGACAGGGTTTCAACATGTTGGCCAGGCTGGTCTCAAACTCCTGACCTCAGGTGATCCGCCTGCCTCGGCCTCCCAAAGTGCGGGGATTACAGGCATGAGCCACTACATCTGGCCAGAACTGTGCATTATCAAAACTGTGTTGCTCTAAGCCACTAAGTTTGTGGTAACTTCCAGCATCAGAAGAAAATTAATGCAGTCTCTGGGTTTTTGTTGTTATAAAGGCATAATCATATGGCTCTATAATGATATGCCCTCAAAGTTAGGTTAGCAATACCTAGTGAGAACATTTCTCTTTTTGTAGGGTTCACTTGTTTTTGAAAATCATTAATTTTTGGACTCACAAGATAGATTGCAGACAAAACTGCTAGAAAAATGTGGGGTACTTATTAGTCATTTCAAAAAGAAGAAAAAACTCAATGTGAAATACTAGTATTTTATGGAAAGAACAAACCACAAGCTATCTTAGTCATTTAAAAAAACTCTGAAAGACAATTAACTTTTATTTTAGGTTAATTTCAAAGTTTTAGTCAGAACTGAGTTAATTTTGTTCAAGATTATCTAGTGGCCAAAATAAGTTATGGTTGATGCCTGGATTAAGAAAGCTTTTTTAGGATAGTAGTATTAGACAAATATGTCCACCATAGCACAGATTAATTATAAAGAAAGCTAATTTGTTTAGAGAATGGAATGTCCAAAGATAACAGTGTGACCATCCCAAGAAACAACTCCCATTATGAATTTTTAAAACTGTAACAGTATTTTATGTAGTCAGACTGTGTGTGTGTAAATACGCAATGAAAGCTTACGACCGGTGAATGTGGTTGTAAGATGTAGCTTAGGTGACCAGCATTCCTTCTAGGTTGAATACCAGGGTGTTGTGGCACCCCAAAAAGCACAGATGTGAGAGATTTGATCGACCTGGTGCCCCAACAGTCATCCCCAAGTGAGACAGCCAGACATAACCAGCATACATTGCAGTACACCTGACCAGCTCCCACCAGCGGGGCTTCTGTGGGCGAAGAAAGATTGAATTGACCTTTCCTAAGTTTCCATTAAAGTACTCATTAATGGAGAAGAATTGGAAAGCATTAAGATGCCTACACCTTTCCAGACACTAGAAAGTAGAATGCTATATTTAAGGAGAGACATGTTTTAACACATGCTGTGGGGGACTAGCGTAATGAAAATGCTGAGAATTTCTCTAGCAGACTTGGACCCGGGTTGAGAGGGGAGGTTTAAGTGTGTGTGTGTGTTTATTCTATTGAACCACTGTTAATAAGGGGTGGATCTCCTGCTGAAAACGAAAGGGGATGCTTTTAGTTCAGCTTCACATATTAGCAAGTCAATTTGTATGTTTTTCAGAATGTTTCTTTTTTTAACAGAATTATTTTATCACACTACTTTCCCAACTTTTTGCTTCTTCTGAAAGTACACATACAAATTGCATAATGGAAAGCTATATATTTAGTCTAAAAGAATCATAGAACTTACTTGAGGTCCAGTAATTTTGAACACCTCCCCCAATGCCACATGAAAATTTTGGAATATTTAAGCATTATGTGGTTGCTATGGTAGTACAATCTCATTCTTATTCCTTCCCTTCAGCAAATGAAAACTCACAGATATCTTTAAACAAATTCGATACCTTATAAAGATTATAGCAAATAGGTATGCTATTTTTATGTGGCAGCATAAGAATTTTAGCCATCAAACTGGCACTATTCTACAGTAATGTTAAAGGTGGATAAAGTTTATTGAATGAGTTTATGTGAGTTAAAGTATTGAAGACATTTACATACATTTGCGTGTATGTAACACTTTCTCTAAGAAACTCCACAATGCTATATCTGCTCTATCTTCTGTTTTTAACATTGTGAGTAAATTGGACTCAAAATTTACTGATTTGTACAACTGTTATACAAATACATAACTATATTTCTTGTAACTCATTTCATCTTGTCCACCCCTATTCTGGCTGAAAATGTCTGGCTTTGTCCACCAAGAATGTCTCAGTCTCTCTTGAATTAAAATGTGTCAGCTTGAGTTAATTACTCAGTATTTTAGTTGCTCTTCCTCTTTCTCCCACGTTGCACCCGGATGCAAAGGGAAATCTACAGAGTATGATGACGTGGATTGATAGGTAGAGGGGGCCTGGGGGAGGGGGCTGCTTAAGTGACTACAGCTGTCATAATTCGTAACTGGTTTTCTCATATTGGTCAAGGACCAAGCCTCCTGTGTGAATTCAGCCTGCATCTTGCCCAGGTTGGTGCAGCTGGTTTGGGCCTTTTACAGTGAAGTCCTTTTGTCCTTATATTTGGTGACCAGTGAACACCATTCGCAATAGTACACATTCTGTCTGGGACATCTGGTAACATCATATGGAATCATCTCAGATGTATGTTCTCAGATGCTCTGCTGACCACGGGGCCCCTAGGAGACATGGTTTTCCAGGTCTTCCAGGAGACAAGGGATCTTCCAGGTTGTGTCCAGGGAAGTAAGAAAGAAGCTTCCTATCTAGGATCTCCACTCATCCTCAAATGTTTCTGGAAGTCTTTATTGCAGTCTCTCTTCTGAGATTCAGTTCAGAGGGAAGAGAGGAGAGTAAAGTCTAACCTCATGTCTCTCTCTCTCTCTTTCATGCCTCAGCATCTGAACCTATAGTGACCAGAAGAAATTTCTTCCTGTGGGGTGCAAACTTTCCTTATCTCAGATATCTTTATGTCTTTTCACTAGGACTAACTGTAAAACTATGTTCAGATGTGTAAGCTTTGCTCTTAATATGAAAAATGCATTTTTTTTTCTTGTTATATAATCATCCCACATACCCTTAAGCAAGCCAAACTTGCAACTCACTGTCTTATAAGGGAATTTAATGATGTCTAATGAGGCCTCCAAAGCGGAACAAAGTTCCCTTTCTCTAGGCTGTCTCCAAAGAAGTGGGGAGGCAAAGCAAGATGGGGGGTTATCTCCTGATTTAGGCTCTTTCTAAAAAGTTGGAAGGAAAAATATCTTTATCTTTCTTGGCTATTCTTTTTCTTAGAGCCACACTTGAGGTTTTCTACATACAGTGGCCACAAGGCAGCTGTTGGTTGATGTGTTTTACTTTCTTTTTCTTCAAAGTTGTAAGTAGGGAGAGGGTCTTTTTACAAGTACCTTGTGAAGGGCAGTCTGGTTCCTCTGGTGTGGTCAATCTTAGGCTTTCAGGATGCCTCAGCTGGTTTCAGTGGTCCTGGAATCTGAGTTGGACAAAAGGCAGCCTGGATTTGTACTTGTGCCATTCTGTGAGTCACTGGCCAATCTGAGAAGTAGCACTAGGGAGAAACTAACTCACAAGAAAGGGATCTTGAGAGACTAAATTGGAGATAATTTCACAGGAAGGGGGCATGGAAATCAGAGTCCATCATTTCCTGGACCAGCTCCCAGGTGGGTTTCAGATGTCCGTTGAACTGAAGGGGCAGGAACGTTCTGAGAAGTTAAAGGAACATAGTGTAGAAAGATACATCAGATACCAAAATATATATCAACCATACTCCCCTTCATGGCCACCGGCGGAAGGAATCCGTGAGTTGAGTGCCTTGTAAAATGTTTCCATCATCTCTTGGAGAGTGGCAGGAATGAATTTCTCACCATGGAATGGAAAGAGCCATCTACTAAAGACAACGCTTGTGAAAAAGCGAGCACCCAATTCACTCCTCATAGCTGGGAGCCTTTATCTGAAGTCATTGAACTTCTAGAGAAACCATCGATGGTAACCAGGGTGATTTTTCACGCAAGCATGTGTGCGTGTGCCTCTGCACATTTTCTCAGGAGAGATTCTGGGGCTTTCTGCAGATTCTCAGAAGAGTGCCTCATTGCAAAATATCAAGGGCCATTAGATGAATGGAAATGTTGCGCTAACAAGTAACATAAAACTTGATGCCTTAAAACCCTTTTCTCTTTCCCAGAAATTCCAGTCAAACAGAGCAATGTCACTGATCACAAAGTTCATTTCTATTTTCAGGAATCCCTTCTGTGATAAAACTCATTCAAAAATGTCCACTTAAAAGAGAATAACAATAAAAAACAACAACAAAAGAGAACAAAGTCTTGTCTTGGGTGTTTTGTGGACACTCTCATAAGGGCATTTACTACCAACAAGCAAGGAATGGAGAATATCTTTAAATCACTGACATTCCTTATAGGGTGTCCAGTTTTGGAAATTCATTTGTGAGCCAAGAAATGTGTGCGTGAGGATGAGCAGTGGCTTATGATAAATAACTTACTGTAAAGGGCAAGTTTCAGTGAGGAATTAACGATTCGCCTCAGGAGGCCTTTATTTACTATTAAAAACCTGAGTGCCTCTCGCTGTTAGCAGGCTGATACTTACAGGGAAATTGATTCTCTTCACAGAATTTCCCGACGGTCCCAATAAGCCATTAAGTGCTCCTGGCCTTACCTTCCTTGGTTTAGTAGCTGCTCTGCCGTGGTCAGCATCGTTTTCTCTGCAGCAATTAGTAGCAATAAGTGGGAGCTCGCACAATTGATGGCGTAATATGCCTGGACAGTGTGCAAGCAGCAGTTATGAAATGCTTCATCGAGCAGAGCTCTTGTACTCAATGCCTCCCTCCCATCAGTTTTCCAGGTAGCAGAGCCTAATGAAGGCACACAGCAGGTGGTGCAGGGCCTGGAGGAGCTCCAGTGCGGAGCTTTCCGTCCTAGTCGGAAGGACCAGACTTTGCTTAACAGGCCTACTGTGAATCCCTTCATCTACCACCCCAACTGATACAACTCAATTAATCCTGAAGAGGTTTTGAAGAAAAGAGGCTTTTCCGTCTGTCTCTGATGCTTTTTCGTGTTCTAGCATTCCTTCTTGATTTTTTTTTTTTTTTTGGAATTTCCATCTCTCTGTTTATAGTCCCCATCTGTTCCTGCATGTTGTCTACTTTTCCATTGGAATCTCCAGCATATTAATCCTAATTGTTTTAAATTCACAGTCTCATAATTCCAACATCCCTGCCTTATGGGATTCTAGTCCTGATGCTTGCACTGTCTCTTTAGGATGGTTTATTATTATTATTATTATTATTATACTTTAAGTTCTGGGATACATGTGCAGAACGTGCAGGTTTGTAACATAGGTATACACATGCTACGGTGGTTTGCTGCACCCATCAACCAGTCATCTACATTAGGCATTTCTCCTAATGCTCTCCCTCCCTTAGCCCCCCACCCCTCGAAGGGCCCTGGTGTGTGATGTTCCCGTCCCTGTGTCCGTGTGTTCTCATTGTTCATCTCCCACTTATGAGTGAGAGCACGCAGTGTTTGGTTTTCTGTTCCTGTGTGAGTTTGCTGAGAATGATGGTTTCCAGCTTCAGGGTTTGCTTGTTGGTTGGTTGGTTTGCCTTTTAGTATACCTTGTGATTTTTTGTTGTTGTGTTGAAAACCAACATGATGGATGGGGTAAAAGAACCACATAAGCTTTTCACGATGTGGTGGGAAGGAGCGTGTGGGTGAGTGTTGGGGATGGGACTTTCTATAGTCTTATAATTACTTCTCCACTTGTACCCTGGGCTGTGAACTTCACAAGTGCTTCTCAGTCCCCCTCCACTCCCACCACCTTAGGTGGGACAGGTTGGCTTGGGTGGGCTGGAATTGTTTTCTCCCCTTTTCCAGCAGCGGGAGGTAGAGTTGGGTACTGCCCACCTCCCAGGTCAGTTAGGGTCTGGTTAAAACTTTCACAGTTTAAGGTCGGGTGAAATAGTTTCTCTTGTGGGCAGGCCTTGTTAAGAAGAATAGAATGCTCTGGAATATTTTAAAATGATTCTCTTTCCCCTCTCCCTGCCAGAAGCATGAGAAGGATTTTCTTGGATTTTCATTGTAAGAACCTAGAGGAGCTCCCACAGGTAAAATTTACAAAACTGCGAACCGCCCCCACTGCCCCCCAACTCCGCCGCTTCTATATTTGGGCTCCCCTGGAGTTTTTGACTCTCAGACTTGTCCACACCAAGTCTCCAGCAATTTGTCAGTTATAATTTGGGTTTGGTGTCCACGGTGGTTTCATGTATGGGTTTCTGCTCTGGTAAGCTATGATTCTCTATATCTGCTTGTCAGTCTCAAATTTTGGGACCTGTGGCTTGCCTTGTGACCTCACTTTTCTGACAAATCTAAGAAGGTTGTTAATTTTTTTGTTTGTTAAGCATTTTACTTGTTGGGATAGAGTGACGATTTCCAAGCCTCTTACAAGCCCACAGGAAACAAGAAGGCTGACTTATTTGAGTGCAAAAATTTAATTCATTCATTATATTTTATAAAAAGATTTTGGAAACCTTTCTCGGCTGTAAAAGGAGCCTCTTTGGGAGGCCGAGGAGGGCGGATCACAAGGTCAGGAGATCGAGACCATCCTGGCTCACATGGTGAAACCCCATCTCTACTAAAAACACAAAAAATTAGCCGGGTGTGGTGGCGGGCACTTGTAGTCCCAGCTACTCCGGAGGCTGAGGCAGGAGAATGGCGTGAACCCGGGAGATGGAGCTTGCAGTGAGCCAAGATTGCGCCACTGCACTCCAGCCTGAGCGACTAAGCCAGACTCCATCTCAAAAAAAAAAAAAAAAAAGGAGCCTCTCTAAGCATTTCCACTATCCTCATGGTTTAATTACTCAGTATATGCAGATGAATCTCCATATTATGTCTCTGACCCTGACTCTTTGCTATGCTATATATCCGCATGTCCATCTTGCTACCAGGTTGATATATTTGAATAAGCAAACCTCAGACTCACATGTCCACAGCTGCAGTCAATATTTCCTTGTCCCTATTCAGGGATCTTTACTTGCCTCCTGCTCTTCTCACAGCCTCTGTGTTCCCAATCAGTGGTGCTGACAATTACCCAGTTCCCCATGTCAAGAAAATAACAATTTATCTTTCCAGACTACTAATCTCTCACTGTCCCACATCCAGGCAATGAAGAGGACCTGCTGCTTTTACTTCCTGAATGTTTCTTGGACGCATTTCCCATCTCCACACTGTTACCATGGTTTTAGCTTGAGCCACGTGGACTCATTCCTGGATATTGCAAAAGTCTCTTATGTCTCCATATCTTCAAAGTCACTCTTACGTAATCTCCTCCACACACTACACAGAGTGTCCTCTCCACAGCTGCACATTGCAGAAGTCACTAAATTTGGTTACTTACTCTTTTCCACAGTCTAATCTCCATTCCACTGTACTGTGCTCCTTTTTAAGATGTTATCGTGCCTCATTAATTAGGACAGCATAGTCTGATTTCCTCCTCATAGAACTAGCAACAGTTTCTCATTCTTTCTTGGTCCCTAGTCCACGTCCCTCTCCTTCAAGTGATTGGTCCTCATTGCAGCCTACCTGTAAATACGTGCAGGCTGATGGCCTGAACGCCTTCTCAGACCGCACACACAGGCTTTTGTGCAACTACCATGTACACGCTCACGGATCTGAATTATCTTTGGTGCAAATGTCTTTGCTGAAATGCAGCTGTGCCTAGGACCAGAATTCCAAATACGACATGGCTCAAATTGAGCTCCCCACTTTGTTCCCAATCCCACTTTTCTTTCTGTTCATGTGTTTCCTGTGGTAGAGTTAACATTACCATCCACCCACTTGCCCAGCTCAGCATACAGCATACACAAACCCATACCCAGTCTTCTTTTTACTTTAGAGACAGTAATTCCCTGGGCAATTCCCTCTTGTCCCTATGGTTCTAAATAATATCTAAGTGCTGATAGCTCCAAAACCCCTACCTCCAGCCTGGAACTCTTTCATACGTAACTCCCTGCTTAATACCTCTACTTGGTGGACAAAATCATACTTACTGTTTTGGTATTCTTTAATACTACTCCGCCATTATTCCTTCCCATCTTGGTTAATGGTACCATCCTCCCATGTCTCTAGCTCAAAACAGAGGAGTCCAGCTTGATACCTTTTGTTCTTACTTCTCATACTCATTCTATCAGCCCATCATATCAGCGTTGTGTCTCCTGAATTCTAAACCAAACCACTTCTCATCATGTCTCCTGCTTCTACGCGAAGTCATTTGTTTTTACCTGGATTACTGTAGTGATCCCTTGATTTGACGTCCTGATTCTACTCTTATTCCCCATTCCCCCAGTAAAATGCACAAAGAGGCTAAAGAGATTTTTTGAAAAGAAAATGTCAACTTATATCATTTCCTTGCTTAAAATCCTCAAATTGCTACTCGTTAAAATTAGATTACAACACACATGCATTACTAGGACCTAAAAATCGTATGGCTCTGGCTTCTGCCTACTCACTCTCCCTTCCCACTTGTTTACTCTTCTCATTTACCTTTGTTCTCACTCTTGAATAGTTTATGCTTTTTCTGATCTCAGGGACTTGGCATAAGGTTTTATTGATCCTCAAACACTCTTTTCTAGAGACTTGCATGACTCTTTCACACCATTCAAATCGTGACTCAAATGTCCCGTTTGCAGAAACATATGCCTGACCTACCAATCTAAGGAGGCTTTGCAATCCTTTCCAGCTATTT